ACTACTTTTCTAGATCATTATTCATTCTTCTCTACACGTCAGAACCGAGAACAGTCTTTTTTGAAATACTCTCTTTTACTTTTCATTTGGCTTGGAAAACGGACTTTTACATTTTTTTTTGTTAATTTATCTTCTTGTAATTTTTTTGAGTAACTTAGAAGAACATACTCTAGTTTCACCGGTGAATTAAGAATTTTTATTTTAACGGCAAAAACCCGTATCACACCAGAATCCTGCGACCGTTCAATCGACACAATTCGTTCCAGGAGACGAGTTACAATTTCTTCAGAGGTAAGTATACCTTATCATTCTTTAACCTTGCAGGTGCTGGCTCTTCTAGCCCAGATCCCAGATAGAGTACCGGCTTGACGGACTGACCAAAAAACAGGGCAAATATTCGTGGGGTAACTCGTCTTTCATTCGTTTACCTGCGAGGACGTCACACTAACAAATAAAAAGTTTTAGGTCTAATAAAATCTAGCAAATAACATTTATAATTCAACAACAGCAGTCTAAAAAAAAGGGAAAAAATAATTTAATTAAAACTTTTTCAGGTTACTTAACGTAAGAAATTTTTTTATTATTCGACAAAACTTGATTGTATTCAACCTAACATCTAATCTGCTTAGTTTTTAATAGCACATTTTTACCGTCGCTAAAAAATTTTTAATATATTTAAAAGAAATTTTCGCTAAAATGTGAATTAAATCGCAGATACAAACTATAAAATTTTTATAAAAGTGCTATTTAAAAGAAGCAATGAAACGTTGCCTTTATAGCTTTAAAGCGTATTATTACAAATAAAAAGTGTTACATTCGAAAAAATTTGACCAACATCACTAATATTTGGACTAATGCAGTCAAAGAAAAGAGAAAAATTCATTATATTACAACTTTTTTTGGTTACTTTACGTGAAGAATTCAATTCTTTTTCTACGAAACTCGATTGTGGTAAACCTGACATCCATTCTGTTTTGTTTCTGGTAGCACATTTTTACCGTCGCTAAAAATGTTTTTAAATATTTAGAAAGAAATTTTCGCTACATTTTGGATTAAATCGTAGTTAAAATCTATAAAATTTCTAGAAAAGTGCTATATAACAAAATCTATAAAACGTTTTCTTTTAAATTAAAGCATATAAACACAGATATATAGTGTTATGTCTAATAAAATCTTGCAAAGATCATTTTCTTTTAACAGCTGCAGTCGAAGAAAAAAAATAATGATTTTATTACAACTTTTTTTGGTTACTTTACGTAAAGAATTCAATTATTTTACGAAACAATTCGATTGTAGTCAACGAAACATCTATTCTGTTTAGTTTCTAATTGCACATTTTTACCTTCGCCAAAAAATTTTTCAATCTATTTAGAATAATTTTTGCTGCTTTTAACATTAAATAATTGCCTAAAACTATCTGATATTTAAGGAAGTGATGTTTAACAAATGCTATAAAACGTTTTCTTTCAAGTTTTAAACCGTATACTAACAAATAAAAAGTGTTAGGTTCAATAAAATCTAGCAAATAACATTTATACTTCATCAATTCTAGTACAAAAAATAGGAAAAAATCATTTTATTACAACWTTTTTAGGTTACTTTACGAGAAGAATTTATGTATTTTTCGACAAAACTTGATTGTATTCAACCAAACATCTATTCTGTTTAGTTTCTAATATCACATTTTTATATGACGCTAATAAATTTTTAATATATTTAAAAAGAATATTACGCTACTTTTTGGATTAAATCGTAGTTAAAATCTATAAAATTTATAAAAAAGTGCTATAGACCAAAAGGTTTAATACGTTTTCTTTTAAGATTTAAAGCGTATAATAACAAATAAAAAGAGTTATGTCTAATTAAATCTAGCAAATATCATTTACTTTTTAAACACTGCAATCGAAGAAAAAAAAAAATCGTCTTATTACTACATTTTTTGGTTTCTTCACGTATAGAATTTAATTATATTTCAACAAAATTCGATTTTAGTCAACCAAACATCCATTCCGTTTTGTTTCTAGTAGCACATTTTAACCGTCGTTAAAAATGTTTTAATATATTTAGAAAGAAAATTTAGCTTTTTTCTGAATAAAATCGTAGTTAAAAACTATAAAATTTTATAAAAAGTGCTATATAACAAAAGGTATAAAACGATTTCTTTCAAGTTTTAAAGGGTGTGCTAACAAATAAAAAGTGTTAAATACCGAAAAAATTTGGCCAACATCATTAATATTTGGACTAATGCAGTCCAAAAAAAGAGAAAAAATTATTTTATTACAATTTTTTTTGGATAGTTTACGGGAAGAATTCAATTCTTTTTCGACGAAACTCGATTGTAGTAAACCTGACATCCATTCTGTTTTGTTTCTAGTAGCACATTTTTACTATCGCTAAAAAACGTTCATTATAATTAAAAAAAATTTCCGCTGCTTTTCGAATTGAATAATAGTTAAAAACTATCAGATATCTTAAGAAGTGCTATGAAACAAAAGCTATGAAACGTTTTCTTTTAAGTTTAAAGCGTATAAAAACAAATGAAAAGCGTTATGTCCAATAAAATTTAGCCAATATCATTTTCTTTTACCAACTGCAATCAAAGAAAAGAGAAAAAATCGTTTTGTTACTACATTTTTTGGTTTCTTCACGTATAGAATTCCATTATTTTTCAACAAAATTCGATTTTAGTCAATCAAACATTCATTCTGTTTTGTTTCTAGTAGCAAATTGTAACCGTCGCTAAAAATGTTTTTATACATATAGAAAGAAATTTTCGCTACTTTCGGGATTAAATCGTAGTTAAAAACTATAAAATTTCTCAAAAAGTTCTACATAACAAAAGGTTTAAAACGTTTTCTTTTAAGATCTAAAGCGTATAATAACAAATAAAAAGTGTTATGTCCAAATGAATCTAGCAAATATCATTTACTTTTTAAACACTACAGTCGAAGAAAAGAGAAAAAATCGTTTTATTACCACTTTATTTTGTTTCTTCACGTATAGAATTTAATTAATTTTCAGCCAAATTCGATTTTAGTCAACCAAACATCCGTTCTGTTTTGTTTCTAGTATCAAATTTTTACCGCCGTAAAAATGTTTAGATATATTTCGATAAAAAACTTTCGCTACTTTCGGGATTAAATCATAATTAAAAACTATAAAATTTCTAAAAAAGTGATATGTAACAAAGGCTTTAAAAGGTTTTCTTTCTAATTTTAAAAGGTGTACTAACAAATAAAAGTGTTAAATCCGAAAAAATTTGGCCAACATCATTATTATTTGGGCTAATGTAGTTAAAAAAAATGGAAAAAATTATTTTATCACAACTTTTTTTATCTACCTTACGTGAAAAATTCATTTCTTTCTCAACGAAACTTGATTGTAGTAAACCTGACATCCACTCTGTTTTGTTTCTAGTAGCACATCTTTATTGTCGCTAGAAATCTTTTGAAATATTTAGAAAGAAATTTTCGCTACATTTTGGATTAAATCGTAGTTAAAAACTATAATATTTCTACAATAATTTCTGTATAACAAATGCTATAAAACGTTTTCTTTTAAGTTTTAAACCGTATACTAACAAATAAAAAGTGTTATATCCAATAAAATCTAGCAAATTTTATTTTCTTTTAACAACTGCTGTCGAAGAAAAGAGAAAAAATCATTTTATTACAACTTTTTTTGGCTACTTTACATGAAGAATTCAATTCTTATTCAACACAATTCGATTGTAGTTAACGAAACATCTATTCTGTTTAGTTTTTAATAGCACATTTTTACCTTCGCCAAAATATTTTTCAATCTATTTAGGATAATTTTCGCTGCTTTCTACATTAAATAATTGCTAAAAACTATCAGATATTTAGAGAAGAGATGTTTAACAAATGCTAAAAAACGTTTTCTTTCAAGTTTTAATCTGTATACTAACAAATAAAAAGTGTTAGGTTCAATAAAATCTAGCAAATAACATTTACACTTCATCAATTGCAGTACAAAAATACGGAAAAAATTATTTTATTATAACTTTCTTAGGTTACTTTACGAAAAGAATTTATGTATTTTTCGACAAAACTTGATTGTATTCAACCAAACATCTATTCTGTTTAGTTTCTAATATCACATTTTTATATGACTTTATAAAATTTTAAATACATTTAAAACGAATATTACGCTACTTTCTGGATGACATCGTAGTTAAAATTATAAAAAATCTTAAAAAGTGCTATATAACAAAAGGTATAAAACGTTTTCTTTCAAGTTTTAAAGCGTGTACTAACAAATAAAAAGTTTTACATTTAAACAAATTTGGCCAACATCATTAATATTTGAACTAATGCAGCCCAAAAAAGGGAAAAAAATCATTTTATTACAACTTTTTTTGGTTACTTTACGTTTAAAAT